AGGAGTAGGAGTAGGAGTAGGAGTAGGAGTAGGAGTAGGAGTAGGAGTAGGAGTGAGAAAGTGCCATATATTAAAGAGGATTACCTGTAATCGATCTATTTGTATGAAAGCAGGGAACTGTTTCACGGTATAACAACCTGCTCCAACTGAAGGTACAACTTACTAATGCAACTTACTCAAGATCTTAAACAGTTCGGCGTGTGGCTACCAGTGACACATTCATATGAAACGATGATACCTACTGCTGCAAAAGATCGTCCAAGATTATAAAAACACTAAATGCTTATTTAAAATACTTGAATATGAATAAAGAATAGTTTCTCAAACACTTGCGTATATATATATGTCTAAGATAACTCATTAGCAGGCATGCGGACATGGGTTTTTGATTGGCTAACTAGAACTTAGATTCCTCTTTCTCTCCTTTTTCTATTTCATTCAACACGAATTCCTGTTTTTCTGCCACCTGCTTATCCTTTCTGCAAGGAACTCCATAATCCTCTTTCCAGTCCTCCACCTGCTCCACGGTTTGGGGCATGGGACTGAAGAGTGTTTCGGGTAAAAACAGAGCCGTAATACCAGCAAAGAATGCCATGCCTCCAAAGATGATGAGGGGAAGGTTTTGAACAAAGTCGTTCTGGAAATTAAAAGTTTTACCTTTACTTTGTTACACAGGTGCCATATTATTTTATGGTGTCAAACCAAATATGTGTAGAAGCTACATTTTCTAGGCTAATTTTAGAAATTAGGTCCAAGTCTATTAAAGGGGACAAATAAAGTTACAAAAGTTCAGCACGAACAAGAAACACAACTTACAAGAAACACGATGTAGGGAGCGATGATTCCTCCGACACGAGCCATCATTGAACCAACTCCAAGGGCAACATTTCTTAAAGAGACAATAAATGGAAATGTTCTATTTCGGGAATTTTTGTCATTCAAATTTGTTGCAAATGGTTCAGTAACCATGGTTACCTGAGTAGAGTTGGGCTTAGTTCAGATGTGTAGATGTATACACCACTAAATGTTGCGTTGATACAGAAAATGCCTATCACAGCCAGCACCTTAATGGCAGGGCTATCACCTGGTGAAAAAGAACATCTTTTAAAAATCCCAAGCTTGTGTGAGTTTCCCAAGATAAAAAAAGAGGATTTTGGGTTACCTGTGGTCTTTGGGACAGCCAAAACCATCAAACATACCAGACCACCAAATATCATTAATGTTGAATAACCTAGTCGACGTCCACACCTAGAAATAAGTAATAAAAAATGATAAATTTACTATATGAGCCCGTTGGAGGCTAGTGATGAATAGGAGTAGTAAGAGCACCCCTTCCTTCTGTGGTCAGCGGTACGAGGATCGAGTATATCATAGAGCCGGAAGCGGTGACAAGGGATATATTATGGGCCCTGTATCCGCCTGTGGAAAGCGGAGCCTGGGAGTATTGTATGAGCCCTTTATCCGTCTGTGGCAAGCGGTGACCAGGGGTATTTTATGAGCCCTCTATCCGCCTGTGGCAAGCGGTACCCAGGAGTATTTTAAAAGAACTGCCACTTCTTCTTTTGCCAGCGGTTTGACAGACCTCACAATCCTGTTGTACGAAGCGGCGACCAGGGGTATATTTTAAGAACCTGCAATACTCCAGTAGCCATGCCTTACCAGGGTTAACGCTTTGATAATAAAAGTACAAATGTACTTACTTTTYGAAGATGAGCCAGAGAAAAAGAATAGAAGGTATGCCGACAGCGAATAAAATAAATACGTTGAGATGAAACGATCCACCGAGATTTTTAGCATTCAAAGTGATGCCATAAAATACAACACAATTGACGAACCTGTTGAATTGAAAACAACAACATATCAATTAACAGAATATTATTGATGAAAATTTCTCCAAGGTATTAAAAAAGGTCTCTTAGAGGACCTCATCGTTCTCGCTTCGATGCACAGGCATGCCTATCCTTCAAGATGGCGTAAGAAAAGTGTGAAGGGGACTATTATAAGTGAAGAAAGTACATGCGCAATAAAATATATACTTAGTAGCTGTAAGTTGTAGATACCGCATTGGAACTAATACACCACTGAAAAAACCGCCCATAATCTATTAGTCCAGAACTGAATCCACTTTTCTCAATCACTATAAAATAAAGCTGCGCGTGAATTGAAAAGATAAGGCTCTGAATAAGGCTTTCAATTGTATAGAACGGTCTGAACCCAGGTGAATGAATGTTAATCGAAGTAATACGATCATCCGGGTGGATGTAGTCCTGAGAAGGACTGTTTGATGTGACTGACGTTTCGACAACCTGAGCGGAAGTCATCTTCAGAGTAATTCTTCATGTAATTAGGCTATTGTTATCGTGGCAGTATAAATATGACCAATCTGACTTTTATTCTTCACTTGACTCTGAAGATGACTTCCGCTCAGGTTGTCGAAACGTCAGTCACATCAAACAGTCCTTCTCAGGACTACATCCACCCGGATGATCATATTACTTCGATTAACATAAGGCTTTCAAGTTAAGTAAAGCGCGCACGTGTATTCTGAAGGAAATTGTGAAACGTGCTACTTCTCATTTAGCTTACTCTGTCGCGCGCTCGAGGAGATAAAAGTGGGTTTTGGACTAATCATCTATGGGAATATTTACCAATTAAAGGTTAGGATAAACGTGCGTTTTCTCATTTTAGGGGTTTTGATAAGATCCAGTATCCCAGCTTTACTCTTCTCGGTAGCTTCACTTGCATCCAACATCTTGATTTTTTTGATAGTCGAAGCCAGTTGGTTGGAATCAACATTAACTCCGCTTGCTGAGGCGAAGCTTTCTAAGACTTCCTGTGCTTCTTCGAGTCTTCCTTTGGCGATGAGCCATGGAAAAGATTCTGGAATCCACCTGGGAAAAGAGAGAAATATGATCAACAAGAAAATCTAATATCTAAAATATCTAAAATATCTAAAATATCTAAAATATCTAAAATATAAACAAGGAGAATAAGCTCAGTACCGGGCAATCGCCTGAGGGTGGGCTGTATGGTTGCCTGGGTGAACTACCCTCCCCGGTAAAACAATATCTGCACGGCACAGCTGAGAGGTAACATTAAATGTCTAGTGCTGAGTCAAGGTTAGTGCTTGGATTGAACCTAATTTGCTGAAAAAGCAAAACAAGACAGACAGACAGACAGACAGGCAGACAAAAAGACAGTGAAGTAGCTTACTTCCATAGTAGCAGAAGAGGTGCACCAGGAAGAGCGATAGCAAGCATCAAATGGCGCCAATCACGTATCATGTAAGCCACGAACGACAGAATCACTGCTCCAATCATGATGAAAAGATTAGAGATGATACCGATGGCAGTACGAAGAGAGAACGTTGATAACTCCATGCAGTATACGAAGCGTACTAACAGACCACCTGCTGAGGCAAGACCTGCACCAAAACGCATGACAGCAAACAGGATGAGACTGTCGGCGAAGGCGGAACCCAAACCGAAGGAGACCTGGGGAATGATAAAAGTAGTACTTGAACGAAGTTTGCTGTTGCTGTCTACGCTGCTCTAGTATACCTACCCACCACCACCGTACCCTTACCTTAAGTGTCGGTGATGATTATGATAATGATACATGATAATGATACATGATTATGATGATACATGATGATACATGATGATGATACATGATGATGATATATGATGATGATA